ACTGTGCTTCAGGCTCCTTGGAGTTACTTCATCGSTGCCCGACAGCTGTGTCCCCTGACCATTATCTGGTGGCCGCATGCTTCAATAGCGGACTGTATGTACTGTATGCACTAGACTGCAGTGTGACCTGACAGCTTGGCTTCCTCTCCCAGAGTATATCTTCTGCTACTCTTCAGCATCCTACAGTTTATCTGTGGTCAGCTTTCTTACCCATTTCCTGCCAGCTGCTACTGGTCTTTTAGTCAGCTCCGCCAGGCACACGGGCAATGGTGAGCTTGCTGAGCCTTGTGCTGCATTATTTCTTGGACAGAGATCCTGCAAAGGCTGGTGCRGAGTTTTGTATAGGAGATTTCTTTGTATGTAGTGTCATGGCAATTAAGAAATTAAGAAATACACTTTTTTAAAAGAAGAAATACACTCTTAAAAATACACCTTGTAGTTATTAAGTGGTATCAATTTTATCTCTGTTTTAAAATTGTTGCAGCATTGTGGCTGAGGCTTTGAAAGCGCAAAACTTTTTCTAGCTAGAAATTATAGCTAATTTCTTCAGTGAAGAATTTGGTATTCTTACCTCCTGTGCCAAGTTGTCCCACAGAGATTTTAAAGTAGCTGAGGCCCAAAGTCCCTGCTCTGGATCCAGAATTTGGTGTTTTACAGGAACATAATTCCTCTGCCTAAGCCTTTTGGAAAACGGCTTCAAGTTCTCCAAGCTGGGACTGAGCTGGTGGCACTGTGCTGATCTGTTTGGAGGTTTCCCCATYGCCACAGCAGGATGGCTGTTCATGAACATGTCCCTTGCTCCTCTTGCTCCTGTCAGGGCAGCTTTAGTTTTACTGTTGGGCCTGTGTTGGGAGGCACCTGTGCTGGAGGAACCAAGTCCCTGGAGCTCAGGGCTACTAAGTGAGGTTTGTTCTCCACCCTTCCGCCCTGACTTCCTCTGTGTGGGAGCTCACTTCCCAGGAGCACCCRAGTGAGCCCCAAAGAGGTGAATGTTCAGTGAAGCAGAAATTAACTGCAGAGACTGGTGCTCTGGCATATCAAAAAAGAATGGCTTTGAAACAGCAGAAGAAGAGCTCAAAGCCTTGCCCCAATAATTTCCTCTTTTTTTTTTTTTTTTTTTTTTTTTTTTTTAAAGAAAGAAGTAATCACTTTAAACTTTTATGAGGTTTATGAGTCAGCATGTAATAGGTCCTTATGCTGGGGTATGGGGCAGTGTGGGAGTTCCTGGATTTCTTGCATGCTCTTTGCTAAGCCCAGCCTCACACCATCAGTAGYAGGTTCTGTAAGGTTAAGCATGGGAAAGGTGTGGATAAGGCCATGCCCATGCCCCATGCAGCCATGCAGCCTAGCTGCACCCCTGAAACAGGAGTGCTTGGGCCAAAGGCTAAGGCAGATCACATGGAAAATCAAGGGGAAAAAGAAATTTGGCTCACAGAGTGGAGATCACTGCTGACCTTCTGAGAGACTGAATGCTTATGACACAGGGTCTCAGATGAGAAGCAAGACAGAGATGTCTTCCTGTGAACTGGTGGGAGGGATTGTGTCCATCCTTTCCAATTCAACATTCATTCTGAAACCCAGTGATGATAGCTGGGAGTGAGGGTGGTGTGCTTGTTCTGAAACACCTTTTGAAGGAGTCTGACAATGTCAGCAATACATTGAAGATGCCTGGAGAGGTTTGTCTCTATCCCAGAGCCAGCAAGTGTGAATACCCTGGGTTCAGTGTTCAGCATTGTTGCTGCCTTCTCTCCTGGTAAATTTAATAGACTAGTAAAAATCCAGTCCAGCTGAGCACCACAGAATGCTAAGATGGAAATTACCCATTAGGACTTTCTGTTCCTGCTGTGGGGCTCCTGCCATGTATTGAGTGATTTGCAGATTTTAAGGCATTGGTGCATGTGGCTTATTRAAACTCAGGTTCCAGTGAATCCACTTGACTCAGTGATGCAAATCTGCCAATATAACTATTTTTTTCTCCATCATTTACTACTCCAGCAATTTTGAAAGGAGATCTATCTTTCAATAGCAACATTTTTTCATTTTCTTCAATGAAATTCTTCTTAATTGCTAAGGATAGTGAACAGCACTGGCTTAAGAGGTTTCTGTGGGATCTTATTAGACATCTTCTGAAGATGAGGATGATTCAGTTAGGATTGCCTTTTAGAGCACTTTTGGCTCACCAGCTTTTAATCGATTTAATATGAGGTACATTAATTCTGGATAGTGCTAATTATTTTAATCAGAATGCCGTGTGGGACTGAGTTAAATACCTCACAGATGTTGAAACCCATGACATAGATACAGCTATCTTTATCAGCTAAACTTGTAATTTCACTAAAAAGCAACAACAAGCTCATTTGAGAAGATTTTTCCACGAAGTTGTGCTGATGACTATTAATTATGCTGCCATCTTTTTAGCCTTTTTCAATTCTGACCCACATGAGGCCATCTGAGCGCAATGAAGGTGCAAAGCAAATGAGACATGGAGGCCAAGGGTACTTGTTGAGTTGTGTCACCTCCAGGCCAGGCGCTACACTGGGTTGTATCACTCATGTAAGGGCTGTTATCTCACTAATCATTTGCATCAATCTGCTTGACTCCTGATCAGGGTTAGACTCCTCAGCCCGTGGCTGCCCACACTGCTTGTTGTACCYTCTGTAAATAGTAATGCCTCATGAGCTTTTTGCCAGTCTTGTCGGTTCTCCAGTGGTCCCAGATGTGTGAAAAATCAACACAAACATTTTGGAAAACTCCTTGGCACATTTCTTTAGTATGCTGAGGTGCAACTTACCAAGTGCTGCTGATTGAAAAATGTTCAGTTTTGATAGTGGCTGTTTAACTTTCCCCTAAGTAACTGATGGAATAGAAAGTGTTTCCTTATCACTGTGAGATAAGAATACATCATCCTAGTAGTTTCCAAATACAAACCTGAAATATTTATTGAATATTTCTTCTTTTATGAATCATGACTGACAATTTTGAGATTCCTATCTAGCTGTGGAGCTATCCCATTGTTAGGATTTTGTTTGTTCCTGATACATTTAAACAGTTCCTCTTTATTGTTCTTACTGGCTGCAGATTTGTGTGTTGGTAGYTTTAATTTCCTATGGTAATTTCCTCACTGCTGATATATGTACACCCATACTGACAGATCCAGATGCAAGTCCAGTGTCCAAACTACCAAAGTTTTAATGAATCTGGGCTCCTGATTTTGTCTTGACCCAATACAAATGAGCAGCTATAAAGCTTGGGTTTAATTTCTGAATTTYATATCCCTTCTGTCTGATTCCAGAGGAGCTGGCATGTTTCAAAGCCATCTTTTATTCAGTGACTCTCACTCTTTGAGAATCAAGATCAGAAAAAAAAAATGCCATTTGTTTCATTCCCATGAATCAGGAATGAACTTGTTTGTACTACAATGAAAATACCTGGATTATGTTTTGAATGGTGACTATGGACTTGGCTACGGAGCTAATGGTGGAAGGGGCAGATAATTCTCTGTTCCCCATGCAGGGCTCAAACCTGTTGCAGAACTGGAGACTGCAGGGACTGGGGGATTTCTGCAGGTAGGGAGGCACTGCTGCCATGTGTATCCATAAGGGCAGACGGGAAATCACGGAACAGTTGGGAGAAATGAATTCTTTGCATCAGGGCTGAGGCTGTGTACTGCCCAGGRTCCTGCTGAGCAGTCACTCAAAGCAGTGCCCAGTCCTGGCCATGGGGGTAGGAGGGTCAGCCCAAGTGCTGTCCTGCTTTGAGTCAGGAGGTGAGTGGCAGTGGCCTCTGGAGACAATGGTGGGATGAGGGGGACTTTCTCATTGCTTTCCTCCCAGCTGCTGGGGAGGTGTGGCACATTTTTCACCCTTCTTGTTGCTGTCTCTGAACTGGTGTGCTGCTGTCTGCTGCGGTTGTGCCCTGGGGWTTTAGAAAAGCCCCTCTGGGTAACAGTACATGAATTGTTATTTTTGATTGTAACTGGGTGACCATTTATTGACTCTTCAGYTGGGTAAAGTTATTTAGAAAGTTATGCAGCTGGAAGAATGCTGCAAGCCTGGCTTATAACTCTCCTCTCTTTCCCAGTAATAGACTTTGATTTGCCGTAGTTCATTTCCCTCTGAAGTCTGCTTTTTGTAGATAACATAAAGCACTTGGCATAGTGGTTGATAACTGAATGTATGAAGCATGACATTTTCCTAGATACAGTATGCCACATGAACACTTGTCTTTTGTATCGGAACCCATAAACAAGAGTTGACTGAGGGCAAATAGCTTGCTCAGGTCCTGTGGAGAGGCAGGGAGTGAGTCAGTGCTGAGGGCAGCGTGATGTGGTCACAGCTGCTTTGGGGAGGGCATGTGGCAAGAGAAGGCAAAGCCCAAGGGCAAATAATCCCTGTGAGCCAGCTGGTAGCAGGTGAGGCAACTCATGATGTGGATTAAAAAAAAAAGAGAGTATTTTGGAAACTTAATTTCCTCCTTACTTGTTTTTCTGTCCAGTGATTAAAATACTGACATGTTTTTCTGCCTCTGGAGCMGGGCAATGCACCTCCCCTCCCACCTGCCCCAGACCAGTGAAACCTCAGAAACCGGCATTAAGGATTGGGACACTCCTGCTGGGTTTAGTCCTTGGCAGCCCTGGAGCAGGGTAGAAGACGGTGCCCATGCAGAGCCATCAAACAAGGCAGTTAACCTCTTGGTTTCTCCCTCACCACCCACAAAGAGAAGCTAAAAATAGCAGGCAGTCTTACAGAGTTCTGGGAAAGAATAAAGTAAGAAAAATTCCAGGCTGGGTGGCTGGAAAGCAGCACTCTGGCTGTAAGATGGAACACTGTGAATATGCAAAGCTGTGTAGTACATTTTAAAAGTAATGAAGCTTCACACCTTTGGCTTTGCTATTAAAGCATTGCTGAGAGCTGCCTTCACACTGCTGTGCTGCTGAGAGTTAGTAAGGGTGTGTATGAACCCAGGGAAAATGACTGCCCTTCTCCTTCACTGTTCTCAAGGTTTTACACCAGCTGCCTGGCTCCAGTCTACACAGGACTCACGCCGAAGGGGAAAGGGGAGAGAACCTGATCATGTCATGAAAGGCAGCTAGAAGAGTATGGGAAATACTCAGCTCTGGTGAGTTAAATTGGAGATACTTGGGGTTGAATTTTTGAGCCTCCTTTCCTAAACTGTGTATGCAAGCTGCAGGCAAGCATAGGCCAGAGACAGCTCAAAGAAATGCTGACTTGCTCATGAAAATGCAGATTTTACAGTTGTGTGTGTAAGAACTTTCTCACAGCAAGTAAGAAGCTGTGAACTGCTTCCTGCGATGCAGACTGAGCTCCTTTGGTTCAGACTCAGTTATGAGGGAAAGTAATCCAGTTATTGATTTTGAATGAGAATCAGGCATCTGTTTGCATCAAGGTTTTGCATTCTGCTTCAGCCACACATTTACAAGCTATCCAGAGGCATGGGAACTAAAAGTGAAGGAAATATTTGTGGGATTCCACAGAGRCGGAAGCAGCCACTGGTTTGCACGTGTGAATTTTGCTAGTGCATTTTGGTGGTTTAGAATGAAAGTCTGGTGCTTGCTCATAATGAAAGTTGAACCTAAAACTGTTCACATCCAAATTCCCAATGCCCAGCAAACTGGAGTGTGAGGGCTTAAGGCAGAAGGGAGGGGCTACACCASGTAAAGATGCTGTATATTTATTTTAGTGCTCAGAGTTGATTAGAGTTGGGTGAAAATGATTAGCTGAAAGGATTCTGAGTAAACCAATTTAAAATGTAATTATGAAGGGCTCAAGATAGTGTGTGTGTGTGTGTGTGTGTGTGTAATTATGTTTCTTGCCCATGTGCAGTGTAGTCAGTGATTTTGTTCTGCGGTGAGTGGAGGGGGAGGAAGGGCTGGGCAGGGGAATAGCTGCACGGGGAGCAGCTGCTGTGGAAAGGCAGCTTGTGCTGGCTTTCTCCTGTGATCTGAGGTGCACTTTTAGCTGTGCACAAGGTAGCACTGAGCTGGCTATCAAACCCAGCGTAGCCATAGCAATGTGTAGCTGTGTTTCAGCTGCTCTGAACTGGGAACAAAGCTGGGCAGGTGATTGCAGTGAACTCCTTGCTGCTCTCTTGGGGTTCTCCCAGGCTGTGCCACAGTGTGCTTGTACAAAACCAGCTCAGGGTTGCCATGCAAGCTGTGGCATATTTTGGGATGAGACCACCGACATTCTGGCTCATGGCATTTCAGGGCTGCTCATATCACCCTTGTGACCAGCAGCAGAGAATAAGCCTCGTCTGGTCAGCAAATTATTGCAGGTCAGCTCACATCCATGCTGTTGGGGATGAAGTCAGTCTGGGCTTGCTGCATCCACACTGTTTGCTCTGGAGCAAGCTGAATCTGTGCAGAGTAGGTGTAGGAGGGAGGGGACTTGTCCCCCTTGGCTGTGGTTGGCTCTCCTGTCATTTGCTGGTGTGGGCCAGGAGCTGGGTTGAGCGGAGCAGCACAGCACTGACACTGTGCTCATCCATGAACCACGCAGGACAAGCCACATGCATGTTCTGGAGGTACCTTTTTGAGGCTGTTGCAGCTGGGCTTTCTCCAGATGTTTTTCTTCTGTATTCTTACATTACTGAAGGCACAAAAGGTCAGGAAATGTCCTAGAATCCTTCTTGCATTAAACAGGGAACACAGTGAGGAAGAGAAAGGGGAAAAGAAATTTTTGGAGGAAGGTGGGCTGTGACAATTAAGGGGGGGAAGTCAGGAGTGCTAAAGGTCATTTTATCATTGGTGGTGAAGGGTGACTTTTTGTGGATTTAACACCTAATGAGCATGTGTGTGAGTTAGGCAGTGAACTGTKCACAGAGGCGCATTTAGGACAGAAAGTGAAAGGACATGCTCTGGCTGACTCACACATTCATCTACAGTGTGAGAGCGATCCCTTTTATAAGACACAGCCCCAGTTGGGCAGCAGCTGTGCTGCACGTGACCCTTGCCTTCRTCTGACATGGGAACAGAGGTCAGGAAGAGCCTCCTGGGATAGCGTACTCAATCTTTTCTATTTCATCTTGTAATTCCTGATCGAGCATAATCRTAAAAAATAAAAAAGGAGCAGTGTTATGCCCATGTTGTTTCATCATTTCCTTATGCTCTCTGTATGTCTGCTTTCTGTTACTGCCTTAATTGGATTGTTAGCTGCTTGGGGCAGCCCTGGTGTTGTGCTCTCATCATTTGCTGTGGTTGGGCCAGTATCGTGCAGGCTATCCCATCAGCACTTCACACACATCCACGGGCATTTTTGGACGTGGGCTGCAAGATAGAGATGTTCCATTGGGACAGGTACATTTTCACAGCAGGAAACCTATGTTTCTGTTTTGTCCTTTGCTCAGTAGGTGCTGGTATGTGTCAACTAATCCTTTTCCTACTTAATCATTCAGTCAGCACCAATGTGCTCCACTGAGTAATGGCCTAAAGACCAGAACTTCCAGCCAAACCTTGTGTTTTGCTAAAACCACAAATCAGACTTGAAAAATAGGTGCAATAAGAAATAAAGCTTCGCAATAAAGAGAAAGGAATATTTCAGCTGCTGTCATCTTAACTCTTAATACCTTCTTGCAGGAAAGAACTGTTTTTGGAAGATGGCAAGGGAAATGAAAAGGGGTAGCAGTGCCTACAGCTGATAACACTGACCTGTTTTCCTGGCATTCYTCCAAATGCAAGGCCAGCTCTGCTTGAAATGTAGGTGATTCATCAGCTGAATTGCAAGCAGATACTGTGGTGCAGAAGCACAGTCACAGACACGTTATTATTTCAATAACCTGAGTTTTAGCTATTCCACTTTAAAAACTAATGAAGCAAATAATGTTGTGACACAGATGTAGGCAGTGAAAATGTGTCAGAGAAAGGCAATTAACCTCTGTACTAATAAAGTCTGTCAAATTAGTAAATTTTTTTTTTATATATTATAATAGCTAATCAGAAATATATAGGCCATGAGTATTCAGTGCCGCAAGCCTGGKGAATCTTTTATACCTTTGAAATCTAGATGTAAAACATCATCAGGGAAAAGCAGGAGGATTTTGGTTTTTCTTTTTTTCTCAGAGGTCTAAATGGCTAAAAAGTCACAGGGTGACTTTTGCTGGGGTGCGTTGTGAATTTTTCAGGACCCGCTGTCATCATGTCCCGTCCCCCCCTCAATTAAGGTTGGGCTTTTATTTCCACATGCAGGCATCCCTCCAATCACTTACTGTTTGTATTACCAATGCTCTGCTGGACATTCGTGGGGCATTCTGAGCTGAGACATGACTGATTAAAAACCAAAGCAAAATAAATTCTGTAATCCAGCTACCTGACTGGAGAAACAGGATTATCAGAAATGAATTCCCAGAGCAGGACAAGATTCTCTCTATTCCTTGTCCTCTCTCAATCATGACTTCTCCCACTGAGAGACAGCAGGAAGATGATGTTGAATGTGAACCAAGGCTAAATAGGTAAAATCCAGGTTTGAAATTCTTTGCTAAGGTATGTAAAAGTTATTCTGGACAAAGTAGATTGCCCCTAAAAGAGAAACAGCAGTACTTTTGAAACCAAGTGAACTTCCTAATGCATTAATGTTGTAGGAATTTTGATGCTATAACCATCACTTAGCAGCTTGGTGTTGGATTTTGGTSAACTGAGTCTATTGGTGAACATCACATCTGGAGTTTTGTTGCATTGCAATGTCACCAAAGTTGCTGGACACTCCAACATTGACAGTAAAAATACACTGAAAAACAGCTTGACCTTCTGTATATCTCTTRGGATACATGGTAGTAAAACATTTGTCCTCTTTGTAAATGCCCAGACCGATGCATTAAGGCACTACAAGGTTAAACTTCTTTATTACTCCAACAATAGTCACCTACCATCTTTTCTCTTAACGTTAAATGTTTACAGCGTTGTCTCATATTCCCAGTCTTACACAGCCATAGCTTGTGCTGGTATGTGTGTGATAAAACTGAAATTTTATCAAAGGCTTTTGTATCTTAACTGTGTCCTGCCTCTGTACCTACAGAGGTGTTACTGTTAAAGATGTTAAATCATATTCAAATATTAATAATTAACAACAAACACCTCATATAAGTTATTGCTATCAAAGGGCATGTGCTGCTGATTATGGCCTCCGTCCTTGTGCTCCCCCACACGTACCCYCTTGCCTTTCCTGGCACAAAGGACCTTGCGTGTGCCTTCTGTGCTTCTTACCATGGCCAGGACTTGTTGGATGGAGGTCATTGTGCTGACATGCAATTCGGGCGTGGACCTGAATGACGGCCTTTCCCGTGGACAGACAGCCCACAACTGTTTCCCTTTGCACATAAGTCCTTCTGGATTCCAGTTAAGCCAGTTTRTATGACTTTGACTAACCAAGCACTTGATCTGTTCACCCCCATGACCTCCCACTGGGGTGCACGTCACATCTTGTATAGCGTGTGGGAATGCTGGTAGTGCTGTCTCAGTGACAGTTCCTGGGGCAGGCAGCTTTTGTCATTGAGCTGGCTCTCGTTAAATTGTGTTCATGGCGTCATGGCRTGGCTTGGATTGGAAGGGATCTTAGAGATCATCAAGCTCCACCCCCTCATCATCAGCAGGGACACCTTTGAAAAGATCAGGTTGCTCAGAGCCCCCTCTAACCTGGCCTTGAACACTTCCAGGGATGGGACATCCTCAATTTTTCTGGTCAGTCTGCTCCAGTGCCTCACCACCCTCACGTTAAAGAATTTCTTCCTAATATCTGATCTAAACTCTTTAAGTTTGAAGCCATTCCCCCTTGTCCTGTCATTGTATGCCCTTGTAAACACTGTCTCTCCATCTTTCCTGTAGGCTCTTTTTGGGTACTGGAAGACCACCATTAGGTCATTCTGAAGCTTTCCCTTCTCMAGACTGAACAATCCCAATAACCTCAGTCTTTCGTCACTGGATAGGTACTCCATCCCTCTGATCAACTTAGTGGCTTTCTCTGGACTCACTCTAACAGTTCCATGTCCTTCCAGTGCTGGGGTCCCAGAGCTGATGCAGCCCTGCCGGTGGGGTCTCACCAGAGTGGGGAGAGAGGCAGAATTCCCTCCCTCCCCTGCTGCCCATGGGGCTTTGGATGCAGCCCAGG